CGCACACAATGTTACACACGTTTTACCCCATATGGGACACAGACACACCCGCACTTTACCATGCCACACAAACACCTTGTCATAGCCAGACACACCACATAGCCCCACCGTGTCCCAGCTGGAGTTACAAGGTGTCACAGAACACCTGTCAAAACAACACCATGCTCAACAAACCCATAGCCGCCATGTTACACAACCACCGCATCACAGGAACAGCCAGACACCCCACATCACAGCTGAAGTCACAGTGCCACAAAACACCATGTCCCACAAACACTGTGTCTCAGAGCCCAAGGGACACTCAGAGTTCTACATCTACCCCCTGCATCGCACTTGCACACACGCTGCTTTGTGCACACACAGTGACCCTCTGGCTCTCACAGTCAGTTACTAGGTGCCACCTTCGGCACCTGTGACCACCCTCGTACCCGAGGGCTTCTGGGTCTAGTTGGCCATGGAGAGGCCCATCGGATCACGACCTCGTCTCACCCCACCTCAGTGAGAGGAACAGATTCTTGTACTTCTGTTCCCATGGCGAACTGGGGGCCAGATGGGTGCTCTGCCCCTCCCCCAGCTTCCCCCAGGGTACAGGAGCAGATTTGTGGGGTGGAGCCCAGACACCCCCAGGCGAACCTAGAGGGGGGGTTTCCATGGCGACCCCCCCCAGGGAACCTGGGCTTACAGGGTCCCAGCTGCAGCTGCTGCAAGGGGAGGGTGTGTTGCACAAAGGTGGGGGCCCCCCCAATCCCACCCTCCCAGACCCTAATTAGGCTCCAGATGGCAGATGGGCTCCACCCCATCTATTTCCATGACAAAGGCAAGGAGGGGGCTGCCCACTGGACCCTGGTCACTCCTGCTGCTGCTGCTGGGTACCTCCAGGGCTGGCAGACTCTCTGAGGCTCCAGAGACCAGGGAGGAGGGGCTATTATTGTCCCCATTGACAGGTGAGGACACTGAGGTTCAGAGAGGTAAAACCACTGGTCTCCAGGTGACCCAGGCAGGAAGCCTTGGAGGAGAGATTCAAGCTGCCCAGGGGATGACTAGTGGGAAAGAGAGGGGTGGAAATGCAGGAAGAAGGATGGTAGTGGGGGGCTGGGTGTCAGGGGGAAGGTAAGTAGCAGTGGGGACATGACGGCACCAACCTTGATCGTCTTAGTCTGCAGTTTGAGGCCATTGAGGGTGTTGATGGCTTTGTCAGCATCGTTGGGGTCAGAGTAGTTCACAAACCCGTAGCCGAGGCTTTGCCCTGTGGGTAGGACCGGGACGATGACCTCCCTACTCAAACCCCAGATCGGCCAGTGTCTTCCCAAACCCAGGCCTGAGAGGCTGACCCTCCCCAAGGTTATAAGAACCAAGATCCCACCCTCACCTGTTCCTCCAGAGTTCTACCCTTTTCCCCTGACATCTTAGACCCACCCCAGAGTCCCACCTGCCCCTATAACCCTTAAGACCCCCACCTAGGGTCATACCTGTCTCCCCATCACACCTCAGGTCCTCCAAAATCTCACCTGTCCTCATCAGCTCCCCACCTAGAATAACACCTGTCTCCCTATCACTTCTCAGAGCTCTCAGAGTCCTACCTGCCCCCATCACACCTATACTCTTGAGGCTACCACCCTCACCTCTGTTCCTCACTCCTGCCCCACCCCATCCACCAGCAGCCACACCTGTGATCTTGTCCCGCACCAACTTGCAGGACTCGATGTCACCAATGCTACCGAAGAGACTCTTGAACTCGTCCTGGGTCATGTTCTGGGGCAGGTAGTTGACAATGAGGTTGGTCTTGCTGTCATCAGTGGCTCCGTTTGTACCAAGGAGTGGCCCGTTGGGCAGGGCCGGGCCTGCCGGGCCCCCCGCCACCTGAGACTCCATGGCCCCGAGTATCTGCTGGAAACAACAGGCCGCACCCGCTCACCGCCCAGTTCCCACACCAGGGCTGGCGGGAATGGGGAGGGGCTTAATGGTGATCCATTATCCTTGACTGACATGGGCTTGAACATGGGGAGGGGATCGTGTATTCTTCTGGTAATCTCTTGCATATATTGAGCACCTACTATGTGTTGACTAAGACAGACTAGGAAATAAACCTGGCCATCTACCTCTTAAGTTAGCTAATGAAAGCCCTATGGATCACAACAGGATATTGTCTAATATAGTGCTGGAAGATGAGCCCCCTAGACTGGAGGGAACTCAAAATACACAGTGGCCACAACAACGGACTCGAGCACACCAACAATCATGAAGATGGTGCAAGACAGGGCAAAGCTTCCTTCTGTTGTACAAGGGGTCGCCGTGAATTAGATTCAACTCGATGGCAATGAACAACAACAACTATATTCCAGGACTGGACAAAGCACTTTACATGTGATTTTACTGTGAACAATTTCTTAAATAAATACCATACATGCAAATTGATGTCTCAAACCTATCTGTGCATTTTACAGAACAATAAAATGAACATTTATGTCTTCAGAATAAGAAATACAACATTTTTTATGGAGTACTGAGTTTCGGTTTACAGTGATGGAAAAATCACATTGATTAAGGGTAGGGTTGCACAGCCAATTAATGTAATTGCTCTCAGTAAGTTGTACATCTGTTCAGAGTTGAATTGGCAAAAGCTGTGTGATAGATATATTTACAACACTGACCAAAAAAGAAAAAAGAAATCTGAGGCTGCTTATGTATAATCAAACACCTCATGGGATTTGGTTCCTTGGTTTGAAGGTTTAGGGTCATGGTTTTATGGGACATCCCAGTTAGTTGGCCTAATAACGAGTTTAATGCTTCTGTTCCACCTCCCAGTTCATTGAGTAGTGCCTGGGGTCTTAAAAGCTTGCAAACGGTCAATCAAGGCAGTACAATCTGTCTCTATTTGTCTGGAGCAACAGAGGAAGAAGAGTGTCAGGAATAGGGGGAGGAAACGGAATGTGTGGCTTATTGCCTCTATGAACAACTTTGTCCTTTGTCATGAGACCAGAACAGGATGTTGCCCAGCTATAATTACTGAACATTTTTATTAAAGGTTTTATAGAAGAATCCTGATCAATAGGGGGAAAATGTAGAGCAGACTTTTAAATTCTCATAGGATCTAGATTTTCTGTAGCCATGGAGGCTGGATGAACCCCTGAAACTATTGCCCTAAAATAATCTTTAAACCTTAAACCAAAAATATCTTCTAAAGTCTTCTTAAAACCAAACAATAGTTTAGCTTAACTAGTAAAGAATGTCTGCCTTGAGAATTATGCTCTTTTAAGATGTATCTGTATGGGATCAAATTGACAACTGCAACTCAAAGATTAGATAGGAACCTTAGGGGGCAGTGAGTTTATGTTAACGGAGGAGGAACAACTCAGAAGGGAGGTTGAAAATGGTTGCCCAACTCGAAGAATGTAATCAGTGTCACTGAATTGTACATGTCAAATCTGTTGAACTGGTGTATGTTCTGCTGTGTATAGTCTCAACAACAACAAAAATAAATTATAAAAATAAAGAAATATAACATTTTTAGTAGCTTAGAAGCCTCCCACAATCCCTTCCCTGATAATATACTTCTTTCCTCCCATTAAAAGTTAATTCCTGTCCCAAATATCATGTTAATATTTCTTTTGCTTCATGCACAGATTTATACTAGGCATTTATCTCCATAGCTTTTCCATTGAGCTATTTTGGGTTTTCTATGGATAACATAATAACACCTGCAAATAATGACAATTTTATTTCTTCATCTCCAGTTTATACCTGTTTTTTTTTTCTTGTCTTATTGCAGTGGCTACAATGTGATTTAAAAAAAAAAAAAAAAAACAACCTGTTGCCATTGAGTCAATTCTGACTCATAGCAACACTTTAGGACAGAGTGGAACAGCCCCATAGGGTTTCCAAGGAGCTGCTGGTGGATTCAAACTGCCAACCTTTTGGTTAGCAGCAGCTTCCTTACTCCTGATGTTAAAGGAAATGCTTTAAACAATTCACAGCTAAACATGATCTTTACTATAGGTTTTTTTTGTAGATGGCCAGGTGAAGAACATTTTATTCTTACTATTCTAACAAGATTCTTTTTCTAAGGGATGGATGTTGAATTTTATTGAATTTTTCTACATCTATTAAAATTATTATTTTGCTTTAATATGCTAATGTTATGAATTACATTAATTAATTTACTAATATTAAACCAACCTTGCATTCCTAAGATAAACCAAACCTGGTTATGTTGTAATTTTTGTTTTGATTTGATTTGCTGAGCATTTTTGTGGTTTTTTGTTTAGAATTTTTTACATCTATGTTCAGGAGAGCATACAGTTTTATATTTAAATGTCACAAAGACTCTAAAATGTTATTTTTTAAGTTTTTTATGGTTAAGTTATTCTTTTTTAAAAGTAATTTATCTTACTTTGTTTTATTTTGTTGTTGTTGAGAATATACACAGCAAAAACGTATATGCCAATTCAAGTTTCTACATGTACAGTTCAGCGACAACGATTACATTCTTCGAGTTGTACAGCCATTCTCACCCTTCAGGGCCTTTCCTGTCCCTCCGCTGTGGTCTGTCCTGGGGGCGGGTCCTGCACCTGGGTTTGGGCTCTCTGAGAGCAACACAGGTGGAATTCCTCCTCACCCCACACCAGGAGGAAGCCTGGCACTTTGGGGACCTCTTTCACTTTGCTTCAAACTCAAAAGAACTGGTAATGGCTATCTGAGGGCTCACGTAGAGAAGAATTTTAAAGCCACATTTGGGCCCAGCAGGTAACAGTGGTGGGATTGATTGACATTGTCTGCTATGGACATAGGAAGGTAAATTAGCCTGTATTTTCTCATGTCTCCTCCTATAGCAGAGCTGGCAAATAGGTTGCCCTCGCCTGAAAACTCAAATCAATTGATGGGGTCATCCTAGAGGGTTGAACTGAGGAGCATTCAGAAGCCATATCCAGCTTCAGTGGGAAACATCATTGTGATTAATTAGCAATGTCTGTCATGACCACAGAATTAAAAATAGACAGCAGGTACATGTTACCTCAGCCGTCCCTGTCTGTGTGCCAGGCACTGTGCAGAGCCTTTACATGCAATTTTCCTTTTTCTATTTATGGCAATACTGAAAAGAGGTGTTTTTTTTTTTTTTTCTTCATTTGACAAATTAGATAACTGAGGTTTGAAGATATTTGAAAAATGGCCAAAGATCATGCAACACATAGTAAATGGTAGAACAGGATTTGCTTGAGTTTTCTGATCTCTAGCCTATATTTTTCAACTTCTACTGCAATCAAGACTAGTTCCAGCTTCAACATTTCCCAGCTGTGTGTCCTCAGACATGCCACTTACTGCTTCTAGGCCTCTGCTCCACTTTGCCACAGACTCCGAATTACTGGTATAGTTAGTGGCCTGGGGAAGGATCTAAAGCTACATGTGGATACAGCTGGAAAGTGTTCTGAGATCAGTTAGCAATGTCTGCCATGGGCACTGTCATGGGAAATGGAAGGAGGTTTTTCATGTTCAACATCCTTGCCTCATAATACTGCTATTAATAATTGTTCCCTGAGTTTGGATATCGACCAGGCACTGGGCACTGTGTGGAGCACTTTCATTTATTTCTTCCAACAATCTCGAAAGGCAGAGAACACATTCTCTAGTTTTCTAGTTTACAGGTGAGGAAACTGAGCTCAGAGACGTTAGGAGGTCTGTTTGACTCCAGAGCTGATTTTAATCACTAGAGCCAGTGCCTTGGGGTGGCTCTGCCACCTTATAGCTGTGTGTCCTGAGGGATGATCTTAGCTCTTTCCTGAGCCTCTGTTTCTTTCTCATGTACTCTTATTAAAGGGATAGTACAGAGGGTCAGATCATGAAGATGGCACAAGACCAGATAACTTTCTGTTCTTTTATATATAAGGTAGGTATGAGTCATAGCCAACAGACTCTACAGCAGTTAACAACAGCAACAACAGAGGGTCAACTTCCCTGCAACTCCAACTGGGTGAAAGTGTCTGCCTGAGGGGCTGCCTGGAGTATTCTGAAGCCATGTCCGGGCTCAGCAGAAATGCGCACTGGATTGATTGGCAATGTCTGCCATGGATGCTGGTGGTGAAGCAAAAACACACGTTCCACAGATCTGCATCCCGGTCTCATAACATTAATACTTTACTAACAACCATGGCCATGATGTGTGCCAGACAAAATTCTTTGTGTAACACTTGCCAGTTAATTCTCCCAGTGTTGAAAATTATGAGACTCTTCTCTGTTCAACGGATGAGGAAACCAAGTCTCAATGAGGGGTAGGGACTTGCAGCATTTAAATGGTGACTGAGAATTCAAGTCTAGGGTTTGGATTCCAGGCTCACTTTCCTAACAAAATGGTCAATAATAATAAAAATAATAAGGGCTAAGAGAACCGAGCACCTACTCTATGCCCTGCCCTGGGCATAAGTGTCGCCAAGTCATTCAATTTGCCACCATGTACTAGCCACTGGCTCCAACCTCCTCACTGTCTCCCCTGACACTCTCGTCACCTCTCTGGGCCTCTGTCTCTTCAACAAAGGTATGGCACAGAAGTCCCTCACATATAGAGATGATTTCTGAATTTCCACCCAGGCTCAGCAAGAGAGAGTTCTGTGATTGGTTGGTAATATCTGCTATGGGAGCCTGATAAGCAAACATCAGTACACAAACCACTGGCTCAGGACATTCGATTCCAGTTTTGGAACCTCTGCTATGTAGGATATCATGGTTGGAAAAGTGGAGAGTCAGCGAAAACGAGGGAAGCCCTCCATGAGATAGATTGACACGATAGCCACAACAATGAACTCAAACATAGCAAATGAGGATGGCACAGGACCAGACAACGTTTCATTCTGTTGTACATGAGGTCGCCATGAATTGACAGCAACTAACAA